GAGGCGTTTGCAAGAGCACCAACTTCCACCCAACGAGTCAAGTAGTCAGAAGCAATAATAACATACTCATTGCCAGCAGCCGATCGTGGAAAAGGTCCCATAAGATCAAACGCCACCACCTCAAATGGACGGGAAACTGCAATTGACTCCAACTGTCCTTCCGCAGCACAAGGGGGAGTATTATGAACTTGGCATCAAATGCAGCTACGCACATACCAGATAATATCACGTCGCATCTCCGGCCAATAGAAAGACCTGCGCAACTTCTCGGTGACACGACAGTGTCCCATATGCCCACCTAGAACAGGAGAATCATGGTAGGCATGGAGAAACTGCGGAATAAACACCAAAGGCACCACCAACCGTAAATGATCATCAGGATCCGTCCCCACAAAATAAAGAAGGCCATCTTCAAGGCGATATTGAGAATATAAATGCTGGAAAGGCAAGTCATCAGCAAGTGATGCAGGATTCTCAAACCCATCTCGAAGCCTTCGAATCCACGGCTCAATCTTTTGAGCTTCGCGAACCTCATCAAGAGAAGGTAGATCTTGCTCTGCGCCCTGTGGACACTGAACGTCAAGGACAGCAACCGCCGACGGCACAAAATCCTCATCTAGAAAATCCATAGACGCTGGAATAATAGGTTCGTCAGAAACATGAGAAGTGAGTGGAGAAGGAAGAGGAGCTCGAGAAAGGGCATCAGCATCAGCCATAGAACTCCCTGGGCGATGAACAACATCGAAATCATATATCTGAAGCTTCAAAGCTCATTGAGCCGTACGACCAACTAGGTTCTTCCGCTTCAATAATGAAGTAACAGCAGCATGGTCACCTTCAAGTAACATCCGAGAACCATGTAGATATGCATGAAGTTTCTCGAAACCCCAGACTGCTGCTAAACACTCCTTCTTCATCGTGGAGTAGTTCATCTCCGCTGGTTGTAATGTATGGCTTATGTATGCAATGGGATGGCGCTGACCAAGCACACTCGAGCTCTCTTGCATCAACACACCTCCAAGACCAATGTCAGAAGCATCCACACACAAAATAAAAGGTCGAGTGTAGTCAGGATATGCCAAAACCGGAGGAGTCGTCAATAGCTCTTTGAGATTCACGAACGCCCGCTCACAATCCGGAGACCAGATAAAAGATGACGTTGATGGCTTCAGCAACACTCGCAATGGTGTAGTGCGATCGGAAAGATGATCCACAAAACGACCGAGATACTGCACCTTACCCAAAAAGCGCTGCATATCATTCACACACTTCGGAGTAGGGAACTTTAGAACAGCCACAAGTTTGTCAGGATCAACTTGCAAACCCTCACGAGAAATACGGTACCCAAGATAAGTTGTGTCCTTGGACCCAAACACGCACTTTGACCGCTTCAGCTTTAAACCAACATCACGTAATCGATCCAACACTTTACAAACATCACGAACGTGCTCCTCCCACGTCCCCTCCGAGTGGATCAAGACATCATCAATGAAGTCAACAGTCACCTTCGGCATATTGCAAAGAACCTCGTCCATCATCCGCTGGAAAGTTGCTGGAGCATTGTTCAAACCAAACGGCATCACCAAGAACTCGTATAAACCAAATGGTGTACGAAAAGTAGTCTTAGGAATATCTTCTTCGGCCATCGGTACTTGCCAATACCCAGAAGCAAGATCTAGCTTGGTGAACCAACGACTTCGCCCCAGACGATCCAAGGGATCAGCAGTGTGAGGAAGAGGATACACATCTGGGATTGTCACTTCGTTTAACGGACGATAATCGATGCAGAAACGAATACTCCCATCAGGCTTCGTCACAAGATGAGGTTCACATACCCAAGGACTCCGCGACTTCCGAATAACACCCTTCTCCAGCATTTCCTTGACGTTTGCTCGTAAAATCTTGATCTCCTTAGGTGACTGACGACGAACAGGAACCTTGATTGGAAGAGCATCCCCAGTTGGAATCGGATGACGTGTAGCAATCTTGGCCCCAGACGATAGGTCAAATTCAAAGAGATCAGAATACTCCTTCATGAGCCGGTCAACTACTGCAACACAAAGAGCGTCGGAGGGATCGGAAAAGGAAAAAGTAGAACAAAATGGAAACACAGAAGGAAAGAGTGGGGGAACAAAAGTAATGGAAGCAGAGGTAGAAGTAGAGGGATGAAGGGGTATGGAAGTGAGAGGAATGGATGAAACATAAGGAAGTATGAGACAAGGGGGGGAAGCCTCAAAGTCACACTTGGCATGATTGCACTGCAACCAATCCATACCAAGAATGAGGTCAAAAGCTTGACTCGGCACCACCCGCAACGACTGCAACTCAAGCTCGAGATCGCCCACACGCACAACCAGATCCACCTCATCCCGTGCACATGCATGTGTACGGCCGTTGCCATAAAGAATAAAAACTGGTTCTGCCGCACGACGCAAGTGTAGACGACAACATGTGGCAACAGGTCGAGCAATAGAAAATAAACTCGAACCTGTATCAACCAACACGGAGAGAATAATAAGAAACCTCTTGTTATAAAAATGAGCTTGGAAAGTAAACATTGGATGAACTGGTGCCGAGTGAACCCCTTGATAATACTCCCGAAAGAAAGATGGAGGGGTCACTAATTTATTCGCGCAAGGTCCCTCCATTACTCGCGCGACTCCTCATTTCCCGGATGCATCTCAGTGTCCAGACCTTCCACTGCAGCAGCACCCAGGGGACGTTGCTGACGCCAAGGTCTCCACCCAGGAAATGGAGGTCGCCAATCCGGAAAACGACGGCAATGCTGATAAGTATGACCAACTTCATCACACGCCCAGCAGCGAACATCACGGCCACGACCACGTCCTCGCGCTTGTCCTTGGACTCGAGCAGCAGCAGCATCAACCTCCATTGGAACAGGACCATCACCCATAGAAAGTGGAGCGGAAGGACGTACAGCGAGAAGTGGAAGAGGCGACGTCTCATAATGTTGTGCCAAGCGAAGAGCATCGTCAAGGGTGGTAGGAGCAAGTGCATGCACAAGTCCGACAAGATATTGACGAAGTGCTAGCCACAACATTCCTAGTTTGATCCGCTCCGACATATTTGGCTCTGCACGAAGCAAAAGACTTCGGAAACAAACGCCAAATTGCATCACCGACTCAGATGGCCCTTGGCGAAGACGATGCAATTGTTGAAAAGCATCATCACAATCATCGGCATGTCCGAAGGCGCGTTTGAAGACGTCCGGGAGAACACTCCAATCCCCACGAGTGGCTGCGCTCAAGCCATTGTACCACTGCAACGCCGTCCCTTGGAGACACGTGGGAAACTCACGCAACTGTCGAGCATCATCCCAAGAATGATATGTGGCAATCACCGTAAAGTGATCGAACCAATAGTACACATCATCCTCAGGATTCCCGCGAAAGAACTCCGGCCGAATACGAGGATTGGCACCAAGAGCAGGAAGAGTTATACCACGTGCTGTGAACGCCGCCATCAACTGAGTTTTGTTGTTCAATTGCAAGCGCATAGCATCAAGCAATTGAACCAACTACTGCTCTAAAGTCAAAAGAGGAGATTGCGGATCAGCTATGAAGATGAACTAAAAAAGAAAGAGCAAAAGAAGAGAAATGACAAAAAAGCTAGAAAGAAATAGTAGATCTAAACAATACAAAAAGTTAGATCTAAACCAAAATTCTGAAAGGAAAGAACAAAAGAAAGGAAATGGAAAAAGCTAGATTTAGACGATGCAAAAGCTAGATCTAAACCGAAATCCCAAATCCAAACACTCCCTAGGGACAATCAAAGGTGCCCCTCATCTCCACCAATGTGAGTGCATGGAATATGGAAAGAGAATACAGAAATGTGCATATTAATTAGCCCAAAAACCTTAGCTTATATACAGGAGCGAGTGGTCTAGATTGAAACCAATCTGACGGCTACCAAAATCCATTACGCTAATATTAGTATATGGCATCGTAGCCGTACACTTGGCCCTCACAAAATCAGATTTTTTAGTTGAAATTAAACATTTTTAGTAATTATTATGTTATGCTTATATGTTTTTTTATAATACACTCATTTTTTTAACAAATTAGTTAAATTAATATTCTTAGAATTAGTGGAAATGGTGCTACTGTATAATCAAAGTATTTGGAATTATTGCCTAAAATTACCAGTGAATGTCTCTCTCAACCTTTAAAACCATATATGAAAATGGAATTTTGAATATAAACATTCTTATAAGAACCTTTTTAATATATATAAATGTTATATAAGACTTAAAGAGTGTGGTAATGCCATGTGTTCCTAATAAAAATTAAATCTCAATTAGACTAGTCTTTGATGCTTTATCATTCTAAAGTTTTTGTAAATATGGAATTGATCTTTGTGGATTGTTTTGCCTAATGAGAGCAACATGACACTTGTTTTTCATATTGTGCTATATGGTAGACAAGATTATGAATTGTTTATTAATGAATTGTTGGGGAATAAATGGACCCATAATTGCAATATATGGAAAAGATATGGATAGATATGAGTTTTTACTCCAGAGGAAGGTTGTACCTTACAATAAATCTATTATAAACTATTTAAATTTTTTATTAGCAACATTTGAAGACCTTGTTTGTAAATAAGGTGAGCTTAGTTAAAAAATGGTAGACAAGATTATGAATTGTTTATTAATGAATTGTTGGGGAATAAATGGACCCATAATTGCAATATATGGAAAAGATATGGATAGATATGAGTTTTTACTCCAGAGGAAGGTTGTACCTTACAATAAATCTATTATAAACTATTTAAATTTTTTATTAGCAACATTTGAAGACCTTGTTTGTAAATAAGGTGAGCTTAGTTAAAAAAAATAACAATAAACCATTTTGTGTCAATAATCTTTTAAATCTAGCTTTAAATTAATTAAATAATTTAAAACAAACTAAATAAGTTGGTTTGAGCAAAATGATTGGTGCATATGCTGTAACGAATATTCTTTATATGCTGGTAAAACCTTCTCTTAAGGCGTTCCTAGGTTGGGCTTCGCCGCTCTCAATCAGGTCGATCACTCCAGCTCCAGATCCGGTCGCCCGGGGGACGCCATCGCCCGTAAGTAGTGCGCAGTGCACAAGATCTATGCCTGTAGGGTTTTAATCCATGGCGCTCGCTGTGCTTTCTCCTGGCAGGGTTTTTCCAATGTCTTCTGCCATGAGACCGGTCTTTTGTGGGAACTTCGAGTATGATGCCCGGCAGTCGGAGATAGAGCGGATGTTTGCGAAATTTGGCAAAGTCGATAGAGTGGACATGAAAACAGGTAGGCTGTGGATTTTAACAAACACACACACACACTGGTTCAGTGCACTGCAGTCTCTTGAGTGTTCTTCATGTTGTTCTTGGCTGAGTTCTTCGTCCGCGTCATTCATCATAGGAAAAACATCATAAAAAAAACTACGCACTGCTCTCAACATTTCGTGATGATCTTGCCTGACAACGGTACTGACTACGTTGGCATCATTATTTTCTTCCGTTTCATCTCGGACACCAGGCTTCGCCTTTGTTTACATGGAGGACGAACGAGATGCCGAAGACGCCATTCAGGACCTGGACAACGTCGAGTTTGGCCGCCAGCGACGGCCTCTCCGTGTGGAGTGGGCTAAGGTATGGCATTGAAGCTTCCTTGTTTTTCCTGTGCGTTTCTTCACCCAAGTCCGAATCGATTCGTTTGCAGCAAGGTGACAGTGCCATCAAAAGAAGAGAAGACGCCCGAAGAAGCATCACCAAGCAGAGGCCAACCAAGACGCTGTTCGTCGTCAACTTCGACCCCATCAACACCAGAACGCGCGACTTGGAGCGGCACTTTGAGCCGTATGGCAAGCTCGTCCGGGTGCAAATCCGGAAGAACTTCGCATTCGTCCAGTACGAGTCGCAGGAGGAGGCAACCAAGGCTCTGGAATCCACTCACCTGAGGTACTCTCACTTCGCGTTTCGCTGCTTTGGATCTCTCATAGCTCTTTCCTCTTTGCTTCCTCAGCAAAGTCGTGGACAGGGTGATCAGTGTCGAGTACGCTGCGAGAGAAAATGGTGATCCTCCTGGAAGGGGTCGACGCAGTCCAAGCCCTCGCCATAGATCACGCGGCAGTCCCGACTATGGGGGTGGTCGTCCACGATCTCCCTATAGCCGCCATCGCAGGTTAGATCAAGCTTTTCTTCGTTTCTAGTCTTTGGGCTTATTTTCCTTTCTTGTGACTTTCTGTAGCAGTCGCTCCCCAGTAAGACGCTATAGGAGCCGGTCGCCAGATTATCGCCCATACTCTGGAAGCCGCCATTAAAAGTTTTCAACGACGCAGAAACGCTGGATTTGTTTGCTTGGTTCTTTTTACAATGTATAGCTAATATTCTATCTTGTAACTGTTCTTAAAAACTCTATTAATTCTGTTTAGCAAAGTTAATATGTATTATGGGATAAGCGGGGGTAGCTCATATGGGAGAGCGTCAGACTGAAGATCTGAAGGTCGTGTGTTCGATCCACGCCCACCGCATTTTTTAAATTTAAACCTAAGTGTCATACGTTTTAGGGTTTTAGCTCTTTGGCGATGGCTAGCGAGGACGCAGAGAAGGAGGCCGTGCGCGTCGCCGTGAAGGAGATTTTGAGCGAGGAGGACATGGACGTGGTGACGGAAGGGATGGTGAGGAAGAAGGCGGCGGAGCGAGCGGGCGTGGAGGTATCCGCGCCGTGGTTCAAGGGATTTGTCAAGCAGCTCATCCAGGAATTTGTAAGTGCTAGGCAGGACAAGAGCAAGAGAGGAGAAGAAGAAGAAGAAGAAGAGAAAGGAGATGAGAATGCTGGCTCCCAAGAATCCTCCAAAGCTATGCTAGCGGAAGGGGAGGACGAGATCATTTGCCAGGTGATTGATCGATCGACCAAAGCGTTCTTTTTGTTTGCTGATAATCTCTTGCAGCTATCAGGCAAGAGGAACGTTAGCGTCCAGAATTTCAGAGGCAAAGCGCTCGTTTCGATCCGCGAGTACTATGAGAAGGATGGGAAAACGCTACCGTCCAGCAAAGGTGCGTTACTGGAGATCAAATTCTCATAGTTTCTCTAATCTTTGTTCTTTTTTCTTAGCAGGAATTAGCCTTACGATCGATCAGTGGGAGGCTCTCAAGAAAGAGCTCCCGGCGATTAGACAAGCCATCGAATCACTGCAGTGAATCGAGAAAAATCGCGCAAGCGTTTTGTAAGGTTGGAGAGCTTGTAAGTTTGACCATTGGCGATTTCTAGCGTGTCGACATTGTCGTGCTTGTGTGTCGACACATTGGAAATTTTCAATTAATGTTCTTAGGGTTGATAAAAATTTAGGGATTTCCAAAGAGCTATGGGCGCCAGGAGGAGCAGCTGGATTCTCCTGCTGCAGCGCGGGTAGGCTAGCAGGGATTCCATGGCGGCAGCGGCGGCATCAGCTGCGGCGATGAATGCTTGGCGCGCCAATGCCGGCGTCACAGCTTGCAAGACGTCTTTTGGATCGTCGTCCAGGGGCTGTGCGATCCACAGGCGATCGCAATGCCGGGCCTTGCAGCTGAGATTTCGTGGTGCCGTGTGGAAAGCGATTGTCTGGGAGGTGAAGAGCACGAGATCCATTCGTCGTCGCAGATGCTGCTACACAGTATGCTTTGGCCACAGCCAAGATCACGGCGATCATTCGCATTCTCACCATCACCATCACGAGCACGAGCACGAGCACGGGCATTGCCATTCGACGCAGGACAGCCGCGACTGGAATTTCGTCCAGCGAGCGCTCATCACGGTTGCCGATGCCACTGGCATTGCTGCTGTCGCGAATTCCTGGCGTGACAGCCTCCAATTGTGCTGTGTCTCGATTGGTCTTGTGTTCTTGGCGATTTTTTCGCCTCGGCTACTACCACGAGCTAGAGGCCTCCAAACCGGTCTCGCCATTGTTGCTTTTTCGCTCACAGGGGTAAGTGACAAGTGTTCTTCCAGAGTGTTCTCGTGATTATTTATTGAGTCTTTTTTCAGGTTCCAGCAGTGTTGGATGCTTGCATGGATGTTGCTGGTGGCAAAGTAAACATTCATGTCCTCATGGCGCTCGCGGCATTTGGTTCGGTTTTCATGGGAAATGCTCTTGAGGGTGCTTTGCTTCTGGCGATGTTTAGTCTATCGCACCAAGGTATTTGTTTGAAAATATTTCTTTTCCTACGAGTTCGTGCTTTTGCAGCCGAGGAGTACTTCACAAACCGGGCTCTGGGCGACGTGAAGGCCCTGAAGAAAAGCAATCCCGAGTTTGCTCTGGTCTTGGATCGCGAGGTTTCATCGCACTCGCATCTGAGTACGACCGTGCCTTACGTCGAAGTAGATGTGTCCAAGGTCGAAGTCGGGGCTTTACTGCTCGTGAAAGCGGGTGAGGTATATTGAGATGTTTCTACCAGACATGCTTGATTGTAGCGTTTCTTTCGTTTGCAACAGGGAGTGCCTGTTGATTGCCAAGTATGGCAAGGGAGATCAACTGTGACAGTCGAGCATCTCACCGGAGAAGCACATCCCTTAGACAAGCGAGTGGGAGATACCATTCCGGGAGGAGCTCGGAATCTCGATGGAATGCTAATCGTGAAGGTTTGTTAGTATATCTTTATAGTCTCTTTCAACTTGACCGCGGGTTTACAGGCTACCAAAACTTGGGAAGAATCTACACTTGCAAGGATCATGAAGTTGACTGAAGAGGCACAAGCAAACAAGCCGAGACTGCAAAGGTGGCTTGACGAATTTGGCGAAAAGTACAGTAAAGCGGTCGTAGCAATGTCCGTGACCGTAGCTGCTTTGGGACCATTTGTTTTCAAGTGGCCTTTCCTCAGCACTTCAGGTTGGTCAGTAATCTCCCGTGGTATTTTTGAGTCATGCTTATAGATCGTGCTGACAGGCGTGCGGGGATCACTGTATAGAGGACTCGGCCTCATGGTTGCAGCATCTCCTTGCGCCTTGGCGGTGGCACCTCTGGCTTATGCGACTGCAATAAGTTCTTGCGCTAGTAAGGTGAGATATATCGTTTTCCTGTTTCTTTGATTCATTTCTCTAATGTGCTTTGACAGGGCATTCTACTCAAGGGTGGCGAAGTATTTGATGCTCTTGCAGCCTGTGACACTGTCGCGTTTGATAAGACTGGCACCCTTACAACCGGCGAACTTGAGTGCAAGGCCATTGAGCCTATCCATGGCCACCTTGGTGCAGGGAAGGCCAATTGCTGTAATCCAAGTTGCGAGGTGGAGGCCCTTGCTGTAGCAGCCGCGATGGAGCGTGGAGCGACACATCCAATTGCTCGGTAAACAGTATATGTGGTTTTTGTTTGGAGTTTGGAATGTGGCTGACTGCGTTTATCTTTTATAGAGCCGTTGTGGAGCATAGTGAAGGGAAAGAGCTACCGTCCATTGTGATTGATACTTTTGAGTCCTTGCCTGGACAAGGATTGTTTGCCACAATTGCAAATCGCAAGGTACTAGTTGGAACTTATTTTCCTTTCTTCTGAAACTTCCGTGTGTAGTCCGGCCACAAAGCCTTGATAGGCTCGTTGGACTACATTGCTTCTTCCTTTCCAAGCATGTCTAGCTCCCAGAAGGTCAGGGAGGCAGCGAGACTGTCGATCCATGGAAATGACTTGGTGCACGCGGTCCTCTCAATCGATGAGAAAGTACGTCATTTGTTTTTACCTTCATCTTAGTAACCAGTTTTTAGACAGGTTACATTGTTTCACTTTGAAGACAAGATTCGTGCTGGAACGGCAGAAGTTCTGCGATCGTTGAAGGAAGAAGCAGGACTCAAGCTTCTGATGCTAACCGGTGATCATCCTGCCAGTGCCCAGCGAGTGGCAAACGCTGTAGGCATTGAAGAGGTACACTCGGATCTTCGGCCCGAGGATAAGCTTCTCCATGTCAAAAAGCTTGCGCGACAAAGAGGTGCCTGCTCAAAGTTACCAACTTGCATCTCGTCTCACCTCTGTCTCCTTTGTTAGATGAAGGTAATCTGGGAGGTTTGATAATGGTGGGAGACGGCGTGAACGATGCTCCGGCACTGGCAGCCGCCACCGTGGGTATCGTTTTGGCTCGCTTTGCAAGCGCAACTGCTGTGGCAGTGGCAGACGTACTGCTGCTCAAAGATGCAATCGACGGAGTTCCATTTGTGATCTCCAAAGCCCGGCAAACGACTTCTCTGGTATGTTGTGTCCTATCTTGTCCTTTTTAAAACTCCGAACATTCACAGGTGAAACAAAATGTCATCCTGGCGATGGCATCGATTGTAGTGGCCGCATTGTCTTCTGTGGGAGGGCTGCTTCCACTGTGGATAACGGTGAATACTACTAAACTTTTAAGATTACCTGTGTGCTAACACACGAAGTCTATTGCAGGTTCTACTTCACGAAGGTGGGACTTTACTCGTTTGCGTCAACTCGGTTCGTGCCTTGAATGAGCCTTTGTGGTCGTCACAATGGAGAAGAGATATGGTAAGTTTCATTCAAGGCTTGATAGGTGATAGAACGAGGAAAGAAGCAGCACATGTAATCTAATAAGGTGAGAAGATCAGCAAGTAACTAAGCATCTAAATGCCATGGATCTAATCTAAAATAAACGTTCCTCTAGCCGTGGCACTACAAGAACTACTATCATTCCTACAAAACAAGAACTACTACAAGAAGTCAAAAGAAAATTTGATCAAACCGATCCATTTTCTTCCTCCTTTGTCTCGGTTTCCGTCACCACCAACTTCCTGGTCCATAGTTGAGCGTATAAAAGCCACTGGCAAACAAAACAAGAACTAACACCCATTCCAAAGGCCCGAGCGAGGTTGAATGGCCTTCGAGCCGCAATAATAATAATACATGTTTTTGTCTTTCGGGTAAGACCACCTTAAACTCGGTGACACGAAAAAATGTGATCAATTAGACTTCCACCATAGGAACAGCATGGAAAATCCCCGCTTTGTTGCTTCTGCTACTTGCATTGTCGACTTTTGAGATTAGTCTTTATTGCACCATTGCCTTGCCCAGAACAGCTTTCACGGTCTGGAGAAGTGATCACAGCTACAAAAATTTAGACCAATAGTAATTCCGTGAACTTCCTAGTTAGCTGTTCTGATTTCCACTATAGTTAAAAAGGACTTTCAGGCTGCATATTCATTCATTCATTAACTGTTCCAAGAAGCATGAGACCGACGGATTACAATAAGCTGTTTTGATGATCTCATGAGATATTTGTTTGCTGAGCTCCTCCAGGTCTTGTACCACCACGCCTTCTGTCCCCGCCCTCTGTTTCACCGACCTACCAAAATATATGAATACAGCCAGGAAGGGCTCGCATTTCCATCTGAGAAGCGGAAATGCAGCTTATTCTCTATAGGATATTTTAATTTAGATTCTGGCGCGACGCTTGCTATGGCTCGTCCTTCTCATCTGCATGGCCTTTCTTGATTGCCTCAGGCCTGGAGATGTCTGGAGATTTGTCACTTCTGCGTCGTCTTTGTGGTGGATCAAGCTGGACAGAAGGCCGACTTCGCAGATTTCAGCGCCGCGATGAAGAATGTGGAGAGCATTGTGGCGGCCGACCCATCGGTCATGAATAGATTGGGCCCGTGAGGGTCCGACATTGGAGAAAGGAAGAGGAAATGCCGCTAATAAGAATTTCTGTAATAGATTCTCTATTCGAAAACGAGTGTAAAATAACGAACAAATCATTGTCCTAGTACTTTGTGGACATATACTTTTCTTTAGCCTTGGCACTATATCAAAGAGAGAAGAACTTTCTATACCATTTTGGTTCATTCCTAGAAGCCAGAAACTACTACATCACTGCAGATTCCAAGTCCAAAAATGATTTGATAGCTAGACCATCAAACCGATCCATTTCCACCCTCCTTTGACTCGGTTTGTATGTTCGCTACAGGCCCTCTGAACCAATGCCGAGCGTAAACGAGCCAGCTCGTCGCCACCAGGATCAAAACACCCCCCACGGCGACTGGTGCATAGTTGAGCGATGTCTCTGTGACCGGGTAAGCCACTGGCAAGCAGAACAAGACCGTGATTGTCGCCACCCATAAAACTGACACCCATCCCAGAACAAATCCAAAAGGCCCCAGGTTAAATGGCCCTGGAATGAAGCTCTTGGCCGCGATGGTAACGCGGAAAAATATCGGGAGGGCGTATGCAATGTAAAGGCCGATAGTTGCAATTGATACCATAGCTTGAAACGCAACGCTGCTTCCCAAGTACTGGAAAAAATATCAAAAACCATGTTGGTGAGTCGAGCAACGAGAAATAGTAGAGGATACTCACCGGAAGAGCCATGCAAAACGCAATCACGACGGAAAGCCAGACCGCATTCAAGGGAACTTCACGCGAAGTCACAGTGTGCCAGAAGCTAGAGAGCGGCATGGCGCCATCCCTTGAGAAAGCATAGGCCATCCTGCAATGAACGAGAGTTTGGAAAGAGAAAAAGAAAGAGAAAGAACTTTGTACCTTGAGTTGCTAGTTACAGAACTCATGCCACAGAAAAAAATGGCCACGGCAACAATTCCAAGGCATACTATGCCTCCGGTTCCAGTGCCATATTTATCCTTGAAAATGGTGTAAAAGAGTTGGGCTACGGCATAACCTTTGGCGTCGTTGTTTGGATCGAGCAAGAACCCGATGTCGCTGATCGCGAAAGTGATTCCAAGAATGTAACCCCACCCAACGATGACGGATATGACGACGGCACTTATAATTCCAAATGCACCGTTTTTGTCTGATGATCTCGTCTCCTCGGACTGCATGGGATGATGGTGAGGAGAATTACAAACCAGAAAGCCTAAAAAAAGTTACCATATGAGCAGAGGCATCGTATCCAGTAAGTGTGTATTGGCTCATCAAAATTCCAAGAAGAAAAATATACGGATAGCTGTGAATACCTTCGTTGTTCACTGTGTTGAAATACTTGAAAACAAACTCAGGTCTCTGTGTCTGAGGAGCTAAAACAGGGATCAATATCATCAGCACAAAAACCCCTGCAAAAGAATGGCGTTTAAAAAGAGAACGGAAGAATAACGCTTGTCCCTTACCAATCAAGTTCCAGAACGCGGCAAAGGTACCGAAAAAAGAGAGGATATGAATTGGCAGGCTATTTACAAGCCCGTGAAGAAACAAAATGCCTGCATGGAATCCTATTACGACGTACTTGGAGGCATAATAACCACCCCCATTTGCACCACCTGTGCCCAGGAGTACCATCACTTGAAGGAGAGTGGCTAGAGAAAAGTCTATGCTTGTCGTCACGGCCCACTGAATTTGAAACTTTCAGCACGCTGGAAGAGAAGAAAAACGAGAGCCAGAAAGACATACCTGACCAACAATGTTGAACCTGGAAAGAAAGGAGAATGAGCGACACGTGAAAGTAAACGAAAGAGCTTACCAGCCAGTGATCCATGCTGCAAACGGACCCCAGTTCTCGCCAGCTAAACTGAAGCTCCAGAAGTAGAGTCCTCCAGAGGTTGGGAACGCAGAGCATATCTCTGCCATCGAAAGAGCTACAATCGTCGTGAAGAAGCCAACAACGAGCCAGCCGTATACCATGGAGATCGGTCCCCCATAACTCAAGCCTGTGCTGTAGAGCGTTGTAATCCCTGTCAAGATCGAAACCACGGCAAAGGAGAACGCAAAATTCGAGACAACCCTGAAACCGAAGGAATCAGTACAAACCGGTTCTTTTCTTTATGTACTTACGAGAGTGAGCGCTTGAGTTCCTGCTTGTAGCCGAGCTCCGCCAAGCGCTTTTGACCGGAATCCATCAGAGGTTCTTCGGCGGACATAGGAACAGCGTTCCGGGGCAAGAAAAAAACCCCAACGGGCACCGCACGGCTTTCGAGAAAGCGACTCTTTCCGGTCCCTTCTGTGTACTATTGAGCTTAGTATTATTAGGAGTCGAATTGATTAGAACGTACCTCACTCCTTTATGGTCCGAAACAGTGACTTCATAGCTACCAAAGTCGGATCGGTCAGGTCACTGATCCTCGCGTCACCTTGCATGAGCTGTACCGATTTGATTCCTCCGTGAGAAAGAAAAATCTGCCTGTAACCTCAATCACATGATACTAATCAGTCCCACCTTCTTCACGTGTACGCCTCAAGCTGCGTATAAATCTGCAACCCCTTGCAGTCGAGGAAAACATTAGCTTACAACTTGCTTTCCTGCTTTTGTATAGTCTTGCATCTTGCTCTTCTAGTATGGCGCTTCTCGGAGGCATAGCTGGAGCCTTGTTCCAGGATAAAGGCTCGTCTAAGATCGTCTACAAAGGCGCTGTCCTCGTCCGGAAAACTAATGTCCTCGATGTCACCAACGTTGGAGCTTCGGTGGTGGACGATACCGCAGATCTCCTTGGTCTTGGAGTGACACTGCAATTGATCAGTAAGTAAATGTTTGTCGCTGCCAAGAACATCCTCACCTTTGAGTATTGTACAGGTGCCAAGACAGGAAAGAAGAGCAATCCCGCAAACCTTGAGAAGTGGTTGTTTTCTGGAGGATTATTTGCTACGGACGATGTCAAATACACTGTGAAGTTTTCAGTGGACCCGGATTTCGGACTGCCTGGAGCATTTAGCATCACGAATAGTCATCCAAGTGAATTTTACCTTGTCTCTTTGACTGTCGAGATGCCTGGAGGGGGGAAGATCGTTGAGTTCCCTTGCTATTCCTGGGTTTACAATTCGAACCTCTACAAAACTGACCGTCTGTTCTTCAGTAACCAGGTAGGCTCTGCGTGGTAAAGATCTCTGACTGTTGTATCCTTACGAATTCTTTCAGCTCTACCTGCCAAACGAGACACCGACGGGCCTGACAAATGCTCGAAAGAGTGACTTGAAAGCCCTGCAAGGAGACGGAACGGGAATTAGACAAGACTGGGATCGGATTTACGACTACGATACTTACAACGATCTGGGAAATCCACTCCTCAACATGAAAAGACCAACATTGGGCGGATCGACCGATCTTCCTTATCCCCGCAGGTGTCGCACCGGTCGAATTAACATCAACGGAGGTCTGAATAAGAAAAAAAAGAAAGAAAGAAAGAAAGAAAGACACTAATTAATGATGTTTGCTGTGCAACAGTTGAAACTCTCACGTTGACCCCGCTAAATAAATTCTACATACCAAGCGACGAACGATTTGGCTCCGTGAAGAACAGTGACTTCCTGGCCGACGGTCTCAAGGCACTGACTCACAGCGTCCTTCCAGCTCTGGAAAGCATCATCACGTTTGACCAGACGTTTGATTCGCTCAAGGAGATAAAGGACCTGTATGACCATGGATTTGATATATCCGAGCTTGTCACCTCACCAGTAAGGGGGATGCAAACGCCACTCGAGTTCTTCAACGAGTTCACCGCAGACACCGGGAACACCAGCTACATGAAGTACCCACTTCCGCAAATCTTAAAAGGTAATGCTCTTCAAATGCAAACTCGAAAAACAATGCATCTAACATCAGGCAACTACAGTGAATGAGAAGGGATGGATGACGGACGAAGAATTTGCAAGACAAATGCTGTGTGGAGTGAATCCTATGATGATTCAATGTCTAAAGGTAAGTTCATGATACTCACAGCCATTAGCCAACTCTTGAGTTCAGGAATTTCCACCCATGAGCACTCTGGATCCTGAAAAATACGGACCATCAAAGTCAGCTATCACCGAGGAACACATTGGCAGTCAGCTAGAAGGCTCAACCGTACAACAGGTTCGTTTTTTTCTTACGTACGAGTTCTAAGTTGACTCTCTAACCACGCAAATGCAAATGCAGGCAGTGAGTGACAAGAAACTGTTTATTCTCAGTTATCACGATGAGTTCATGCCTTACCTTGACAAGATCAACTCCCAGAGATCTTCTTACGCTTACGCATCCCGAGTTCTCCTGTTTTTGAAGTCGGATGGAACTCTCCGGCCTGTAGCCATCGAGCTCAGCACACCGTATTCTCAGAGAGTCTTCGTCCCACCGGCAGCTGGAACAACCGATTGGCTCTGGGAGCTCGCGAAAGCACACGCCGCCACGAACGATTCTGGATATCACCAGCTTGTCAGTCACTGGTAAGCCAAACATTTAGAGAAGAAACAAACAAACAAACCTCTCGTATCTGTTGTGAAGGCTAAGGACACATGCTTGCATCGAGCCGTTCATCATCGCGACCCACAGGCAGCTGAGCAAGCTTCATCCTCTAAACCCGTTTCTGCAGCCACACTTCAAGCACACCATGTCAATCAACTCGCAAGCGCGGCAAAGCCTCATCAATGCAGCTGGAATCATCGAGCTAACTTTCACTCCAGGAAAATACTGCATGGAGATGAGCGCCGTGGTTTACAAAGGCTGGAGATTCGACGAGCAAGGCCTACCAGCAGATCTCATCAAAAGGTAACACAAACAAAACAAAACAAATGCTGGCACTGACACCACTCATTAAAACTCGGTTCCAGAGGGATGGCTGTCCCAGACTCCACAGCAAAGCACGGACTCAAGCTTGCGATCGAGGACTATCCATATGCCGCAGATGGTCTCGAAATCTGGGACGCTCTGGAAAAATGGACGTCCAGTTATCTCGACGCTTGCTACAACGACGACGAAGCAGTAGCAAGCGATGCAGAGCTCCAGGCCTGGTGGAACGAAGTAATCAAGAAAGGCCATGCAGACAAGAAGGACGAGCCATGGTGGATCAAGCTGGACAGCAAGAAAAACCTGGCTCTAGCGCTCACCACTATAATCTGGGTAGCGTCGGCCCATCACGCAGCCGTGAACTTTGGCCAGTATGCATACGCTGGCTACATGCCCAACCATCCCACCGCCACTCACAAGGCAATCCCGGCTGAGAACTCGGACGAACACAAGAAGCTGCTGGCAAACCCTGAGAAATTCTTCCTCGAGTCGGTCTCGAGGAAGCTGGAAGCGATCCTCGTCATGCTCACGCTCGAGATCCTATCCACTCACGCGTCGGACGAGGAGTACCTGGGGCAGCGTGCCATCGCGAACTGGACGGATAATCCCAAGGCCAAGGCCGCCTTCCAGAATTTCACCGCCGCGATGAAGAATGTGGAGGGCATCGTGGCGCGCCGCAACGCCGATCCATCGCTCAAGAACAGATTGGGGCCCGTGCATGTCGCATACACGCTGCTCTCGCCGGCATCGGAGAAAGGGATCACTGGCAAAGGCGTGCCCAACAGCATTTCCATCTGAGCTATGAACCCTAAAGAAGAGGAAAGGTCAATAATAAGATTATTCGGATATAGTGGAGCGTTTAACCGAAATATTGAGTATATATTGTTTTAAATATATTTATAATTAATAAATATATTAATCTTAGAATAAAATAATGTGTCAAAGTGAATAAATTCAATCAATTGTAGGTAAATTGGCAAGAGTGATTATGATTCTTTTAAGGTAGTTAAATGCCTCATCATCTAATTAGTGACATGTATGAATAGATTAATTAGATTCCTAATGTCCCTATTTACTATCTAGTGAAACCACAACCAAGGGAATGAACTTGGAAAAATCAGTGGGAAAGAAGACCTTATTGAGCTAAGAATGGGAATTTTTATATTTAACCTCTAAAATACCATTTCAACATGCTTGAAATTGGGAAAGAGTATGGGGGCTAGTGACAAAGGGAAGGATCAATGGAATGAGAGTTTAGTTATGTGTAGTTTAAATCCACACCATTTACTCTATGAATGCATGCTCCCAATCCTTAGTGGTTGTGAATTCTAGATCTTATCAATGATCCCCAACCTTGTCTTTCCTATGTGATTGTGCCTATTAATGTGAAGGACTTGAGTCAGTTGTGAAATTGGCATTTATTTCTCAAAAATATAAAAAGCCCTTAAACAGTCTTGAATCCCATGATGTGGTGAACTAAAGAGTGTACACTGTTTGGTAATAGTGACACTATTGCTGCCTAGAAGCCTTCTCCTTGATGCTATATGGTTAATCCCTTCCAATTGGTGTTGTCATCTTTGTCAACAGGGTTTTTATGTTATTGAAATGTGTATTGAACAATAAATTTATATGCCTTCATCATTATTTGAGATTAGTAAAGAATGTTGAAGATCATTACAAATACTTTTTCTTTACTATCACTCTTATTTAGCCTTTATAAAACTATAGTGTCTAGTTTCTATATGATTGAAACCAGAAAAGAGCATTATTATATATGGGTGGGGAGGTAAGTCAATATCCATTATAGCCCAAGTGGTTGAAGTTTTCAATGGACTTAGGGAAATACACATTTTATTGTTAGACAAGTGCTGCCAAAGCTGTAGTGGTGGTTTCAATGTCCATTCATCTTCACTAGCCTCATTTTCATGCTAAAGAAGGGCTATAAAGTTTGTTCCTTGGTAATCTTTCCTTCATCTCCTCTCTTTATAAGTGTGTCAAGTTAGGATGCTAATGAGATAATCAATTGAGACCAAACTTTTGAGATTGTTGCTTGAGCTGAGGGGTTTTTGTTATCGAACATCCTAGCACAGCGAGCCTTTCAAATCTCCACAAAAGTACATCCTCTAAAGACATCAAATAACTTTTGGTACAGATGCATGATGTGTGTGCTTATTTAGTTGAGCTGATCAAAGTGTGGATTCTCACTAAGTCTCCATTTCTAAGCATCCAAGTGTTTTATCTTTCCTTGGATGAAGCAACCCAAAATGTTGATTTATAGATTATAATTGCACCATCTTGAGAGGATTGTTTGAGAATTACCATGAAGCCTTCCCACACATCTTATGCTACTGAACATTCCATAGGATATGGCATTGTGTCTTCATTGCTCCACAGTGTGCAAGTTGTGTCTAAGAGGTGGATTGCCAAGAGTGAGAGGAGACACTCCTACTGGGTGGGCCACATAAAGTATTGGGTCTTGGTAGATTAGTGACCTTTCTAGATTTTATTCACACATTGTAAGTAGTTCTGGGAGTGAATATGTTGTACTCTCACTTGATAA